ATTAATCAATGATATGAACATAAGATTTTTAAAAGAATTATTGAATTTAAATAATAGTAATAATGGGAGTAGTTTTTTTTGCATACAACCATCCCAAATCGTAAATTTATATTTCAACCCTTAATTCAGATAGCATGGCCCATTGTTGGTTTGTTTTTAGTTTTTCTAAGAATTGGAATCAATGTAGTGGATGAAATTTGATGGATGTGTTGAGTTGATCTGATGAGTTTGTGTTTTATAGGAAAATTGATTATACATCAAATAATCTTCAAACTCTCATGCTTATTGTCAAATCAAACATCTTGACAAGATGAATCTAACAAGCGCAAAATCATCTAATTCTAGCATTGTCAAAGAGCTCCAAAATATTGAAAGAACAGTCTATAAACGAAGATGGGCTTGAGACTTAAGATTTCTTAGAGAGCTTGGATCTTCTCTTGAGACTTGGGAGAGCTCAGAAGCTTAAAGAATCTCGATGTTTCGCTAGAGCATCACCACTAGATCCACACAAAACCATCACCATCAGACCGTTACAAATAATTATTGTCAAACCATCACCTAACTGCCAAACAATTATCCATTTCTGCCATTGGACAACCACCCCACCATTGTCATTAGACCACCATAGCCCGACAACATTTGTCCAACCATCATCACCTCATTATAGTCCTTCAACTACATTTGCCCAACTATAATCATCCTACCACCATCGCCTAACTTGTTCATCTAACTACCATCACCCAAATTAGGTCCTCAGACCCCCATCACATGAATTCAATCATCTAACAATTCACTCATGACTATGATCCTTGAACCTCCACTATCTAACTATGTTGCTCCAGCTGCTGTCACCCAACTATGATCCTCTATCCACTATCCCCCAATTACAATCTCTAAAACATCATCACCTGATTGCTGTCTCATCGCTACCATTTCCTGACTATGATCTACCGCCCACTGTCACATTACTTATTCCTTTGATCACTGCCAACTAAATATAATCCTCATAACTTCATCACTTGACTTCAGTCTTCTACCATCATCACGTTACTATAATCCTTCAAACTTCATCGCACTGAATTCAATCCTCGAGCCACAATCACCCAACTTTGATCCTCGGACCACCATCTTCCAACTATATTTATCTAACTATTATTACCCTACTATAGTCTCATGACCACCATGTCCAGATTATAGTCCTCTCATTCCTAACCATGGTCCTCCAACCACCATCATCCTAATACAATCCTCTGATCATTATCGCTCAACTACAATCCTCAAACCAACATCACTCAACTACAATCATCAAATTATGGTTCTTAATTTAACCACTATATCGATGTTAATTGGCTTTGTCACATGTTGTTTTTAATAACGTCAACACACACTATCTCCTATAAGCTAGATACATGTAGTGACACCAACTTTGATTCTCAACATCTATATTAAAATTTATGCAGGACTTTGCAATCACCAATCTCCCGTCAAGTTCAATGCGTTTTAAATGAACCTGAATCTGTTTTGGTTGGAAATGGGGTGAATTGTGTTGGGGGAATTTTAGCTGAGGCTGTTGCGCGTGTTTTATCTCCTAACGCTTCTCCTTTTGTTCCTAATGCTGTTACCTCTGCCATGGTAGCTATCACTACTGATAAGGTTAATACCTTAGCGGATGTTGCTGTTGATAACTCGAAGGTCTTTTTGGAAACGGATATGGGTGAGGCGGTGCCTCATTTGCTTAACGTCAGTGAGGAATGTGCTCCGATTGTGAACAGGATTGTTGAGGTCCCTGTGAATTTGATTAATTCGCAATCTATGGCTAACTGTTTGGGTGATTGTTCTGGTTTGGAGATTAGGAACCAAATTAACTGGTTGGCTGGTGAATCGGATGGTGCTTCGGACTCTGAATTTTTTGATGTTCAAGTGGACTCGGACCCGGATAACGATAACGATTTCTCGGTGGTTTGTACAAAACCTATTGTTAATGCTCAAACCCGGGGAAATTTTGGGGGAGAGGCCGTCGGCGACGTTGATTCTTTATGTTATTTGTGCTTTTCATCGCTCATCGGGATTTATTTGTTTTATTGGTCGGATGCTTCGTGGATTAGATGGGCTATAAGCAATGATGTGGTCGGGGCTCGCGACCTGATCGTTTTGCTTGTGGCAACCTTTCATTGGACGGTCCGTGCGAGGCGACTGGGTCGCTGGGAGCCTCGGCCATCTCCTGAGCTTTTTTGCGCCTATAATTCTTTTTGTTGTTTTTTCCTTTGCTTCCCTATTATCAGCTGTTGTATCCGTTTGATTTTGATTGATTAATGAAATTTTGTTTTTTGAAAAAAAAATACCAATCTCCCCTCAAAGGACAACAATCAAACAAACAACAAAATATTTCTTGAAGACAAATCTAATATTGCAAAGCTCCTACAACTTTTATCACAAAAATATTTTTTATATGTTGCATGCCTACTATGTTTTATCTATACCTACCTTTAACAATCATATGGAAGGGCATCATTTATAACTCTGAACAGAGGCTAGTAGAATTATTTTAATTGGGTCAAACCATATGATTTTCCCAAAGGCTTTGAAAATCGGTTTAAATGGTTGAACTGCAAACCGGTCGGTTGGGCCATCGTGGTTCACTTCATAATTGATTTTGCAAAGAATCGGTGTTGGACAGTTCAAACCGACAATTCGACTGTCAAACCGTAATACCAGTATCGGTTCAAACCGACAATTCGACCGTCAAACCGTAAAACCAGTATCGGTTCAAACCGACAATTCGACCGTCAAACCGTAATACCAGTATTGGTTTCAGAAAAAACTACCAATTCAGATAAAATGCATTTGAGCTGTCTTGATTAAATCTAATGATGTAAATTTTTTGAAAAAATAAAACCTAACTTATATTGTATAAAAAAAAAAACCATACTATTCATTGTCGTCCTGTTCTCATGTAAGCTCCTCCAAATCTCAACTCCCGTCCCAGTCTCGTGTTATTTCATGAAGCCTACACCGAACCGAAGCCGCTCATCTCATGCTCAACTCCTCCTGTCTGACTTACTACTGTGATTTCTTCACTTCTTCTCCTAGCACTTGTCCTCGCAGAGTCGCATTCACTACTCACTAATAAAACTTAGCAATTTCTTCTCGGATAGTTTTTTTACTTAGTTGATTTTCTGATTATGAGTTTGAAAAATGGTTCTTGCAAAATGAGATTGTTTTCTTTCCATGGAAAATTGAGTTTGTCGACTTCTACGTGAGTCTTCTATTTGATGTTTTTTTAACGTTTCTTGATTTAAACTTTTGGTTTTGAGCTTTTTTATTCTGAATCTTTGGTTTTGGATTATATATGTTCATATTTTTTATTGAATTTGAGTTTGAAGACGATTCTTGTTGACAAGGGAGCAACACAATTGCATCTTCCTGTGAAGCAAGGTCAGCCATCCCGTGTAAGAATGCTGTTGGATAAAGGAACTCTTTTATATGCTTCTATCGGTGGCTACAAGTATGACTTTGATGAATTTTTGTTTACTCTTATTCTGTTATTTTTTGAGTTGATGAACTTCGAAGTATTGAAATTAGTCAAATTACTAGTCAGATTATGTTAATTTTATTGATTTTTAATAATATTATTATTTATTACATCATCTAGTTTGATCCCGGCCGAACCAATCAAACTACGAACCTCTCCTTCTGCTTTGATGTCTGGTCCGATCTTCAAAACCTTGGATTTTTCTCTTTGAGGGATTTTTCACATAAACTCTGGTGTCTGTTACAATGATGAATCTTTGTACAATACTAAAATGTTAATATATCTCTCAATTATCGAGAATACTCTGACACATAACAAAAGTACTATTCATGAAAGGCTAACCAATGTTGTCTTATTCTAATAAAGGTTTAGAGTTTTAATATTACTTATTTGAGTTTACTTTACTTAGATTCTAATGGTGATAAATACTTTAACTAAATGCTAAACCTAATTTAAACATCTTTATTTATTTATAAGTACAGTATGCATGCGCTTGAAAATCATAATGATTTTTTATTTTTTTTGGCGGTCATTGTAATATGGTCATTATGGTTTTCCAAATGCATCATTCTCAGGCCAACAATATTGGCTTATCCATACCTTGTATGTGCGTATGTTTTCATTTCGTGCAACACAACAGAGACCCTTTGATCTTAAATCAACGATTCCCCTCATATCATGTATTCATAACATGCAACTAAAAGAATCATTGGGTACACTAGGAGTGCAAACAAGTTGAGTATAGTTCGAGTCACTTCTGAATTGAGCTTGATTAATTAATTGAGTTTGAGCTCGAACTCGAGCTTTATTTTACAAATTCAAGCAAGCTCAAGAGCTAACTCATTATTATTAAAGAGAGAAAATGATTATGGTTAAATCAATTATTATAATAAACTGTTTAAAAAATGAAAAATTAAAAGAAAAATAATAACTTATCATAAGAAATTGAGATGGGTTTTTAAATAGCTTTTTACTTAAAATCTTGAATAATGCTAACATTATTAATTAAGTACATTTTCTATTAATATTTTTTTTTAAATGAGGTCGCTTGTGAGCTTACGAGTTGAGTCAGGACTGGCTCAAACTTGACTCTTTAACTCATCGAGCTTGGCTCGCGAGACATTTATCGAGCTAAGCCTGATCATGCTCTCACGAGTTGACTTGACTCACTACACACCAACAACTAAATAGTAGGTCGCCACAACCCACATGTAAAGATCATCCAAATCAATTATTATGTAAATCAAAGACTTTGGATTTATATATATATATATATATATATATATAAGAGGTTAAACATCATTATCCAAGTGGAACGTTGTAGCTGACATGATTAATGAACCACTTAGTTTTAAAAATTGAGCAATTAGTAATTAATTAACAATTAATTACCATTTATTTATTTAAATATTAGTTTTAAAAAAGAGTTAGTAGATCAAGCTCATAAGCCAAGACTTCGGCTTCACCGAGAGAGTTCATTTTTCTCTTTCCCGAGAAGTTGCGACTCACGAGTGTAGGGAACATTAATGCTAGGGTTCTTCCGAAGATTCTCGAACCAAATTCGTCTCCTTGATTCAGTTTATGGGCCTCGCGCGCTATGTTCTAGATACTTTTCCTTCCTGCCATCGGATTCGGGTATTCAGGAGAGCTCTCCGTTGTCAAAATCAAGGCTTGATGTCGACGGGGTGAGTCCATTTTTCTGTCTTCTCTGCATATTTTGAATTGCTTACAACTTGTAGATGGTGGAATTAGGTGTTGAGTGAACGGGAAAAGGGGCGTTGAGGTGGTTTGAAGAGAAGGAAGAGAGAGAATGGAAGTAAGGGAATAGAGATGAATTTCGGATGCCATGCCGGCCATTCTTTTTTTTCTTTTTTTTTTTTCTGTCCAATGGCATCTTAATGTTTCATTTCTCAAATTTCGCTTTTGCTTTTAAGGCCAATGCGTTTGATGTTGAAATCTATGTTGTAGATAAGCTAACTTCATAGAAGTATTAGATTTTTCTTTTTGCTGGTTAGGGTTGGATGGATAAAAAAAATTAGAAGTTTTGGATGATTTTGTCCCTTTTTGTAGAATTTGATCCAAATGGATGGTTTTGCTTGTTGTATACCCTACATAACGATGAAGATTTACTTCTTACTTTCAGATGTTTATAGATAGATGTTTCTATGCTTCGAAGTAAATATCTTCCCAGAATCCTACACTTATTAAAAGCATTACTTCGGGGCTGTTTGTCTGCGAGAGGGATTTAACTCAAGCAGGATTTAGTAAATTGTGTAGATTAAGATTTAATCAATCTTGACAGGATTAAAATATGAAAAACTGCTTGGCATGAAAATTGTTATGTCTTGCTAAATCCTGATAAATTATTCAGTTTTTTGTTTCAAGATTTAAGATTTGTGTGAGAGAAATTCTGGATTTGATCATTAAAGGGTTGGAACTGAATTTATAAATAGTAGAATTTAAAGTTCCAAATGTGTTAGGCAAAATTTTAAGTTAAATCTTACTTAAATCCTGCCTAAAATAGGATACCAAACAGCCCCAACTTCATGATGAATTTTAGTTTATTGCCATTTGTACGATTAGTCAGATCTCATCTCTCTATTTTAATATTAAGTGCGTTTTAATTATTTTCTATGTTTATCTTATGAACATTTAAATTTGTAAATCAATTATGTTTCATTCAATGCTAAAACCTTCTTTTATGCCATTTAAGTTTTGGGGAAGTATATGTAAGTTCACAAACTTTACATCATATTTGTAATCGTTCTATTGCATCCAACGGCACCATGACACCAAATATTGAGCACAAATAAGTTGGAAGGTGAGAGGTGGTTATGTCTCAACCTTGGTAAATTCTACTATCATACAATCTTCATATTTGATGCAACCTAAGGCTTGGATGACAAAATTGATGCAACCTAAAAACAAACTTTGCTTTAGGAATGCAAATAAAAACACACTTTCTTTTTCATTCATATAAACCTTAAATAACACAAACAAATACAACAATAAAACAATACTAACATCACTTACAACTTATAATAGAACAAGACATGACACAACTTTAAATTTACAATAGTTTACTGGTGGAATGGAAACCGTGGAGAGAAGAATAGATAGAAGTCCGAGATGAAATATAAGAATGATAGGGAGAAGAAGTTAGCTCACAAGCTAGAAAAACCCGCAGGTTTTGAATGATCACTTTCCAAAAATTCTTAAAAGTCTCTCACTCATAAAGAAAATCAGCCCCAATTTATAGGAGAAATAAGAAGGAATAGCATTTAATATATCACATAAATGTGCCCCAAAAAAAGCCACTAAAAACCACCCAAACAAACCGCATTTAAAGCCTCCTACATAGGAATCAACAAAGAGGAAACCGAGCCGCCACAACAGGGAAAATGAGAAGCCAACAACAGGACAACATCATGGGGAAAAGCAGTCAGCATAGGGAAAGTCAGCAACACTTAACGGAGACCAAACAATACTTACAACACTTAAGGAAGACCAAACAACATCAAGTATACGAGAACACAACAGAGAAAATGATTGGACAACAAGGAAATTGAGAGATAGCTGGGAAACAGAGGGGCCAACAGGGAAAATGAAGGGTCAATAGAAAAAACTGAAAGTCACTGGAGAAAGAAAGCTAGAAACACAAGTAGAAAATAAAGAAAACATAAAATGACAACTCTTAACTGCAGCAATATTGGAAATGGAAATCATTTGGGGTTACACTCCTACCAGAGGTAAATAATGAATTATTTGCTTATGGTATATTCTGATCCAGGTTGACCTTGTGAAACAACTTTAATCAGTGAACTCTTTAATAACTTAGACTCGCACAAATGAAATATTTCTTCATTTTATTCTCTTGTTCATCTGTTCCTTTAGAGCATATAATTGCAGCAGATTTGTCTTAATAGAAATATTAGTAATGCTTTGCTTCATCTCACATCTTATTTGCTTGCTAAAAATTCTGAGTTGCTTGATATTTTTCATGTTACTATGGTTCATCTTTCTTTTTTGTCATTTTACTTGGTTCATCTTCCCTTAATGCCTGGTAGAATTACCGACTCTTATGAATACTGATTTGTAGCAATTTCATCCTAGTTGTCCCCTTGTTGTTTGTCTAACTGATTGACCTATCAACATCTCTGCATTGAGTAAACAACGGGAAACCAATTTTCTCTTTCCAGTAGCAATAGCTTTTTCTCGGGTTTTCTTTGAGAGTTTCCTAATTATTACCGATGCAAGCCCTAATTTGAGAGAAATTATTCTGTGAGGACGCCATACGCCCTCCGGAGACAAACCATAATGAGCCACGTCTGTACTGCAGCTTGATACTGCTCGGTACCGCTCGGTACGACGCTCAGTATTGCTAAACTGGCTTATTATGGTTGGTCGACGTTCGCATAGAATAATTTCTCCTAATTTGAACGCAGGGCTGCAAACATAATCTAGCTTCGAGGCAATTCATTTTACAACCATTATCAAATACAATTATTTAAATTTTTTTTATAATTTTAATTATTTAATGCTAACTTCCATATGACTTACCCAGCTAATATTTGTAATCACTTTTTTCATAATTTTCTTACCTTCTCCATAATCCATTCAAGTAAAAAAGAACTGCTTCGAAGAGAGCTTCTTCTAATTGTATCAGAATCAATGATTAGGACATTTTCTAGGTAAGCTTCATTTCTTTGTCAATGAATCTAGTGTTGGTAAGTTCTCTAAATTTGATCTATGGCTCTATTTCTTTTATCCTTTATATATTTTGACTTTGGAGTCAATTGGATATATCCTTTCAGTTGATTGAAGGCACCAAACCACGGCATGGCAACTGCAGAAATAGATAGTTCAACATCACTTAGTAGTGATCTTCTGTACGATATACTTCGTCGCCTCGATGGTCCTTCTCTAGCAAAAGCCGCTTGTACTTGTGCTGACTTCAGTTCCATATCAAAAGAGGAAGTACTATGGGAAAATGCATGCCATTCTCTTTGGCCCTCAACTCATAGAGATGATGTTAGGAGTCTAATCTCCTCCATTGGTGGGTTCAGAAGATTCTATGCAGACTGCTTCCCCCTTATTGTCAGTGAGGGCATCCCTGCAGTTCAAGCTGATAGCAATCTTCCCTATCCTGATGAATGGACTGAGAATGATTACTATGGGGACAATGATGAAAATGAAAGCGTCGTGCCGTCGGATTTCATTTCCATTGTGGATGTAAGGTACAAAGAAAAAACAGTATATTCAAAAGTTCTATGGGGAATTACAGATTCTGACGGTTATAACGGTTGGTTTCATCATTGCCCGTTTCGAATCGACCTGCTCAGCTATTCGGATGGATCCGACGATGACGATAACGACGTTCTGCTCTCAGTTGATGATGGTTTGCCACCCATTACATCTGTAGAAAGAGAAAGAAAAGATGGGAAATTGTGGAGGGATCTGCATGAGGGAATTAAGCTAAGCTGGATCATTGTGAATAGCAGACTGAAACAAGCTGCAAATCTTGCAAGCTGGAGTCCCCTTGGAGGACAGAGGCATTGGCCAGCTGATAGGAACTTCCTTCTTCGATTTGGATCGATACTTCCGGCTAAGGACATTCTCCCATGTCAGGTTGCAGAATGCATTATTGTCATGAAATTTAGTATTGTGAATACAGGAAATGGAGAGGGTGGTATGGCTACAGCTCTCAGATTAACAGAGCTAAGTATGCAGCTGGAAGATATGGCTGGAGCTCATGTTAATGGGCGCAATAGTCTGCTTGTTTTAAAAGAAGCTTTGAGTTGCAGGAGGAGCAGGAACTATAGCCAAGTTTTAGAGTACTGTCACTTGTATTTGAAGGCTCAGAATGAGTTTAAAGAGGAGAAAATCAGGAATGAAAGCTGGTTCGATAGGCTCTATATAATAAGCAGCATTGCTGTAGTTGCAGCCTTTTGCTTTTGTTACATATTTTGATGAAAGAACGTTGTCAGGATATTCTGTGAGATGAATTTAAAAATTATTGTATTTATTTTGAGATTAATATTATATAATTATATTAGAGGTGTCAACACGACTTGAAAGCCCTACTCAAAAAATTTCTGTTTAGGGTCAATTTATTTGTGAAATTGGTCGGATTCAAGTTCAACAAGCTGACCCATTTCAAAAATCGGATTGGATATAGGTTGACCTGGAAACTCGATAATGACCGAACCGACACTAGCTATGCTCCTTTGGGTGTTAATTTTCATCTCCATTTTCAAAGTGTGGATTGGAATTCATTGAATTATTTATTTTTTAGTCTAATGAGTATTCAAAATTATGATTAACAAACAGTCCATATAGTGATACAATATTTTCAAAAACATAGAGGAAGATCTAACTATATTGTTTTTCACTTTGGAGACTTTACAATTAATGTATGATTCATAGCAAAATCTGCACTTATAGGACTAGATTTCATCTCAATTATAACATTAATGCTTCTCACACCCACCAAAATTTAATATGAACCGTTTGATCTACATAAAAAATTTCTTAACTAATAATGAGCATCTATGAATGCACTTCTTTTTCAAAGCAAAACATTGATGTTTATTAGCATTTTCAGAGTCATTGCAGTTTTTACATGGAATCATGCAGAATGTGTACAGTAACAACATCTACATTGTGCTTCACAAACCAGATTCCCAAGTAGCAGCAGCTCGTTCTTTGAGAGTTGGATAGAAAGACCGAACAAGATTAAGAAGGAAATAATCTGCTCCATGTCTTGCTAACAAAGAAACTGAAACCGGAAGGCCATTTTGCAGCCCAAGTGGTACAGAGATCTGAATAAAACAAAGAGGAGAATTAGTGGGAGTTTAACAGAGCCCTATATTGGATACCCATATTCACACTCACCCATGTACCCACTCATATCCAGTGGGTATGGATGAGTATGGGTACACCATGGCCTTGTGGGTGGATTTGGGTGGGTACTCAACATCTGGGGATAAATCGATTTATATTGTTAATCACCGTATATCTTATATTATTGCAATCCTCACTATATGTAGTGTGTAGCACTTAACCATGTTGCAACTACGATAAATTTTGATATGCGGCTTGAAAGTTTGCAATCAGAGCAAAGGGAAACAAGCCTCAAGGCCATCAGTTTGTGGCAGACTGCATTCAAAAAGCATGGAAAGTGGGTGGGTATAGGTGGGTACGGTATCCCGAAAGTCACCGTGGGTGGGCGAAGCCCGTCCGAGTAAAGGATGGGTACCCAACTGGGACCCCATATAGGGCTTTGGAGCTGAATATGGCTGTATTGCATTCAAATATAATAGGAAGAAAATCTTAATTTTGTTACCTGGCAGAAGCCAGACATGCTAGCAACGGCTATCAAACAGAAAGCTTGGGCACGAAAGTCTTTTAATGCTGTAACATCTAGGTTGAGCTTTGGAGGTGGCCCTGGAATGGTAGGTATTGCAAGGACTCCATAGTCCTGGAATGAAGCAGACCAATTAAACTACAATGTTGCCAGTACTTGACATTATTATCATAGAGACGATGCTATTATCAGCAAATATAAATAGTCTAGAACTTATATATATTAAGAGTAAAGACGAGTTACCCCCAAAAGATCAGTCAAGGCAGCCTTGAAATCAACCTTGAATTTCCTGCAGCTGTCTAAATTATCATCTGTTGATGTCAGGGCTTCCATTATTCTTTCTGATATTCCAGGACCTAAGCTGGGTTTCACATTATTTAACCATTCTTCATGATTAGACTTAAATTCAAACCTGCCAAAAAAATGCAACAATTCGGCATTATATTATATATTATTATTTCCTCTTCAAAATTTTATATCGTTAGGTTTTGGGAATGGCAACTTTGAAAAATATTGTCAGAGCAAAACGACAAGGAAGGAATTTTTGTTGAAGGTTTGAGGTGTAGACTCATACAAAATTACATACAAACCATGTTTTCAAAATTAGATTACATCAAGGATCAATTTTAAGCCAACATCTTACTAATTTAGTCATGGATGTTCTTACACGAAATTTATAAGAGGATGTACCCTGATGTATGCTTTTTGCTGATGATATTCTTCTTGTTGATAAGAATGGAGAGGGAGTAGAAGTAAAACTTGAATTATGGAGATCAGCCTAGAGTCTAAAGGTTGTCATTTGAGTAGATCTAAAATCAAATACATGGAGCGTAATTTTAGTAGTAATAGATCTAATGGTGAGATCGCGACATTGGGTGATCAAGCAATTAAAAATACTGCATGTTTTAGATATCTCGGATTTACTGTTCAAAGCAATGGTGAAATAGATGGGAATATCATTAGTAGAATTCAAGTTGGCTGGTTGAAGTGGAGGAATTCATCAGATCTATTATGTGCTAGAAAAGTATCCCTAAAACTTTAGAGAAAAATTTTATAAGTGGTGAGATGTTAGACATCAATATATTTTATTGGATCCTAAAATTAAACAATCAAATTGTGAAAAATGGGCTACCAACATGATAAACCAACCGACAACCATAAAAGTCTAGCAAAGAAGAAAAAATTCAGAACAGTCAATATTGGCAAAACATAAAGTTGGTCTACAAATATGTAATATGCACTAGTTTACTTTTATTCTCTTTTAGTTGAGGTAGACTGGATATATCTATTTTATTTTAAAGTTTGTGTTTAGATAGACAATGTCCATCTTGTAAACTTGGTCTATCCACGTAGTATAAATAGCCTCCTATCGTAAGCAAAAGGTTGATGAATGGAAATTTCTGGTTTCTCTTCTATTTTCTCTTAAGAGTTTACACGTAATCTAAAAGTATCAAACATTATTTGATAATCAAGAAACTTATCAAATGGTGCTCTTGTTGCACTAACTTCATTCCTTCCAACATTTCTATTCCACCGTTCTTATCTCTGCCAAGATCTTTCCCCACACCAGCCCATATTCCACGGGTTGTCAGCACCAGCAGCCACCTCTACTCTTGCCGGTCCTTCACCATTGTTCTCTTCATCGAACTGTGGTCGACGGGGTTTCAACTGCCGCCTCCCATGCAATTCAGCTATTGTTATCTCTGCTGCCAGTGTGGTTTGTTTTCTGACAGCTCCTTCCACCGCCCTATTGCTTGTAAACTTCAAGATTACTGCAAGAATCCACAAGTTCCCCTTCACTTCTTCCCACGGGATAGCCTCACTTCAACAAGCACGTTCCAGCCACAGATTTTAAATCTTCAGCCAACACCTTCCAGCAACGGTCTTACCAACCTACAGCATTTTCAACATCAAGAACAATGGTTCCAACAAGACCAGCAGGCCCTCTGACACCTCTTCGTATTGTTTTCCTTCGTCCTCTTCAAGACTGCATCAAGTACTGCTCCTTGTTATCAAGAATCACTTCTTGCTCATTTCCCACACCATAACTCATCATGAGCTGATTTAGCCAAAGATACCGAACCTGCAAACCAATCAAGAATTGCAAATTTCTGAAAAAAAAAAAAAAAATATCTCTCCAACAAACTGATGTTCAATTTGCATCCATAGACACCGCTTCACAACAAATTTCATGCCTTCATTGACTCCATTGACAAACGTCTTGATAGTTTGTGCACTGATCGCTCGCATTCTTCCTCCCATCAAGAACCGCTTTCTTCAGCCTCGGCTCCATTGGCCAAGTTCATTCTCCACAAACAAAATCATCACCTCCGAATTTTTCTTTTCTTAAATCAATGAAAATTGAACTCCCTCACTTTAATGGCTCCAAAGTAGAAGCTTGGATCTTTCAAGCCCATGAATACTTTGATTTTCATAACACACCTGAATGTCAACGTTTACGCATTGCTTCATTACATCTTGAAGGCCAAGCAACTACTTGGTACTAATGATTACAAATGAAATGACAACTGCTTTCTTAGACTGATTTTATGATATCTTTACAACAACAATTTGAGATTTCTACATACGATGATTTACATGGCAATCTTTCCAAACTAACTCACCAAATGCTATTCTTGAATACCAAATTGCCTTCGAAAATCTTACTTTTAAATTCCCTAATCTATCTGAATCCACTCTCATTAGTTATTTTATTTCCGTTCTTAAGCAAGAAATATCTTGCAAAGTTTTAATTGCAAAATCTACCTCACTTTTTGATGCCATGTACTTAGTTAGATGTCATGAATCTAAAATTCAAGGTTTCCTTTCTATTCCATTCATCTTGGCGAAAATCTTTTTCTTTCTCATTTCCACATATCATACACCTAATCTTCCACAGTCTACCATGAAACCAACATCTACACAATCACCTTCAGTTGCCCAATCTACCTTTACCTCTTCCATGCCAAACCCCATGTGGACCTCCGAAAAAGCACCACTCGTGGGGTCCGAATGCAAAGGGTACGACCGCACTATCCCGTAGGACAAAAAGATCGCAGACCTTTATACTCGACACGAACAGGTCAATGGAATGACAGATTGGATCGTGCATACGACTAACCATTGAGGATAGCGGCTCTCGCCAACGCACCCCGATGGGTAGTCATATACACGACCTTATCACAATCACGGGTTTTCCTCACCCGATACAACAGCTCGAGTGGGGTTTAGTAGATGTGGGGCCAAGTTTCCCACGGGCGCAAGCCCCCGTGGTTAATTACATCCCAGGTCGGAGCCCTAGAAAACTCTCGATTAAGGATCATACATTATCCATCCCAAAATGGGATTGACACGAGGGTATAGACTAAGAAGTCCTACTCAAAAGGGAAGGAAGGTCCGAAGGGCTGAATCAACATATGCGGTTCACATCAGCATTCGGAGGCTCTAGGGTACTAAGAGGAAACTGGAGAAAATAAAAGTCAGGCAATCGACACATACGTGAGATAAAAGATGGAGGTGGCGTCATCCTGTGACGCAGATAAGTATGATTTATGGTCCCTGAAAGGAAGAGACCTACCCACTATTTAGGCATACTACGAAACCGAGTGTAGTAGCCTCGAGTCCTAAATCTAGATTGGGTTAGTGTCCTACGCACACTAACACCTGTGTTATAACTAATGCAGTGCAAAACCTGGACTTACCCTGGCCTGAATTGGGGAGCCAGCTAACCACCTAATCGATTCAAAACCATGTAGTCTAGTCATTTATGAAAGATAGGTGGATGGTATAGTTCTTTGAAAATAGGATCAACATCTAGAGAATTTCCTAATTGGTCCTGGACTTATGTGGGGTGAATGCCCTTAACTAATACAATTAAAATTTTATTAAATTAGTTACTAATGCAATGCATGCTGGTTGAAAGGTCTAAATCAAGTATGAATTGGATTTTAAAAACAGGTTTAATATAAAATAATTTTTAGAATGAGACTAAACTTCCCCAGGTCCGACACGTCATCCTCATAGGCTAGATTATCCGGACTCTACCCGTAGGGGGGGAAGTGTCTCAAAGCAAGGAGGATGAGAGATGCATTAATATGCATGCGACCCCGGACGATTCTGGCAGTTTTTTAGATTCGTTAGATTTATATATTATTTAAACTTAAAATTTTAAATATTAGTTACGAGTAGAAAAATTTTCATAGTCCTTAGAGAGCCTAACGAAATCCAGGTGAAAATAAAGACGGCATGCAAGAAAGTAACCTAAAAAAAACAGATAATTTCTACTACGCAAACAAAGTAAACACATCAATATAAATCAACAAATCAACTAAATAGCCATAAGCAAATTTCCCTTATTATAACCCAGGATATGCAGAAAGTAAAGTGGCCGGGCACCACTGCCAACAACCCGGATTTTTAAGCCTATGACAGATAGTGCTGCAAATGAACAGTGCAGAGTCGAGTATCTAAGTGTTCATGTTTGTGTTCATTTAAAATCAGGTTGTTCAAGTTTGGTTCATGTTTGTTCGAGCTTTATTGTTAGTGTTCATGTTTGGTTCATTTAAATTAATGTGTTCATGTTCGGCTCATGTTCAGTTCATGTTCGTTCGTTTAGTGCTTATTGAGCTTTAAACAAACAAACATGAACGAGCTATAAACGAGCTCTACTTTTAGATGTTTATTAACTTAACAAACGAGCTTTATCGAGGTTCCTAACAAACGATTACATCGAGCATGTTCGTGAACATATTTAACAATTTTTTTTAACTATAAAACAAACTCATTCATGAACACATCTATAAACAAACACATTTATAATAAAAGCAAATGTCTATGTAACAAAGGCAATGATTTATAAGCAAATCACATCTTCACAGAATTTTCCTAACAACAACATTAATAAATGAAATTATTTATAAATAAATAGTCATATAAAGCTACAATTACTTAGACAACAAGTTATTTTTGTCGAGCTTATTCACGAGTTCAAAATCGAACACGAATCGAGCTTTTATTGAGCTTCTTATCAAGCTTAATGTCGAGCTTGTTCACGAACTTCAAATGATGTTATTCGTGAACATAAATGAGCCGAATGCATTAATGTTCAAGTTTGTTTATTTAAGAATCGAGTATTTAAAATATTGTTCAAGTTTGTTTGTTTAGTTAATTAAATGATCACAAACGAGCTTTAATTGAACCGAACAACGAGTAGCTCGTCGAACGTTTGGTTCGCTTGCAGCCCTAGACGCAAATGACTTTGAGTGGGATATTAGTCTTCAAGTCTTCAGTCTTCTTTGGATTTGTTCTCCTTGGACTCCTTGGATTCGTCGTGGCTTGAATATCCAAACCAAGAGACAATTCCCCCTTGGTAGGGGGTATTGCCTTTTCTCTTTGGATATCTAAAGAAGACTGAAGCTACTTCATTATATCATACAAATCTTGACTCTAAGGATCACTTATGCCAAGTTGCCCCTCAACTTCACTTGAGCATGTTCTAGCAAGTAGCCTTGATGCTTGTGTAAATAGTTTGAGTTAGTTAGTGACTTACTGAGCCTTAGAGCTGAGTGTGCATTATAAAAGAGCTTTGATCAACTCGAACTCAACAATTAGTTCATTATATTTTTGATAACCTTCATTTACTAATACTTCTAAGTTGGTCAACTAATCTTGAATTCAATACCAAACTGACTAGCCTCGATCCCGGTCAATTGTAGATCAACAAATATGTTTTAGCCCATCCTAACAATATTTTGAGTGTCCATTTAAGACAATCTTAAATATGCATCTAATAAAAATCAAATTAACAACAAACAATTATTTAATCCAATAAAATCACAAAAAATAAAAAATCAGTCAAAAATAAATTCAATCAGCATACACAAACCTCTGAAGCAAACGCAGGGCATATGACAGAGCTCCTAGTTCTGGTATTGTAGAAGCTCGACTTTCGGGGGCTGTACTTACAAAACTTTTTGAAATAGGAACCTTACTGAGTGTGTAATTTCCAAGGTTTTCATGGCTAATCACATGACCTGTTCATAATTTTTTCTTGTTTAATAAAAACTATATAGCCAAAGCAATGATCACTTCTGTAACTTGGTTAGTAAAAAACAAGGCTGTGAAATTTCATGCACTTACTTCCAAAAGTATCCTCTACAGACTGAACAAGGATATGTGAAATTTGCTCACCAAGTGATCCAAGATACTTGAAACAGTCATTGGCAATAATGAAGCGAGTTGGTTTAACATTTATTTCACCAGGCAATTGCAGTAAAGTATGGCCCACTTTGCTTATGGTCGCTGGGTCTCTTGCAAACCATCCTGTCGGTGTAGAATTGTAAAAAGAAAGTGCAAATAGCATACAAGTCTCAGCATGTTGAAGGGTAAGGTATCACATAGAAGTATCTAGTATATATCCCCAACAGTACTACATAAATTTTTATGCCGAAGAATCATTACAGTAGGTGGAAACATATTTTTCTTTTTCTTTTTTTCCTGCACCAAATACATTGATTTTCCTTTTAGTTGACACAACAAAGGACTAATGAGAGATTAAGGCTTCTTTTGAGACGACTTTAAAAAGCAATAAAAAAATCGTCGCAAACGAAGCCTAAATCTACCTCCACAAAATTGTTTGAAGTGCAACACCAACTCTTTAAATTTGAAATCAGTGTGGCATCAGATTATAGAATTTCTACTCCTACTAAAGCACATTTGAGACCAAAACGTAAAATGTCACAGTCCACCATGTAGTGATGCTTGTATAAGACAACCAAAAGCATCCCTTTTATTAACCATTTCAAGCATAGCCTCAAGTGAAGGTGACTTTCCCATAACTCATTTTGATAGATATTGCAAGTTTAACTTTTAAGGCAATAGCACCATTTCAACAACCCACTGGGAGAAGGGAAAAATAACCAAAAAAGCAACCACGCTAAGAGAGAAAAAATATCTTACACCACAAGAAATATATCTAATTGGCAACTGCAAAGTCAATGCCACACTTGCTATCCACAGCAAAAACTATAGCAAAAACAAAATGAGTCTTTTGTAATGAAATAAGGACCTTAACTGCTGAGACAACGATTAATTAACAAAGAAGAACTCTATCAAGGACAAGTTATACTTCCTACCAACAGTATCAAAGTTTTGAGCCATGGGAATGACATGGCTAGTAGAAACAACATCATGTGAAGGTCGGAAACCAAAGATCCCACAGTATGCTGCTGGTACCCTCACACTCCCAGCAGTGTCAGTACCTGTAAAAACTACATCTTGGTTAGAACACATATATATGAATAGGTCAAGCACCAAACATAAATCTAGTGAATCATTTCATTTGGGAAGAATGAACTCGCTAAGATAGCTTCGAACACAAGCATATTTTATATATATATATATATATATAGGAAAATTTTACTTTATTAAAATTTAGGAAAGTTTTAATTACACTTGGGAGGGAATTAATTAGGAAAACAAATTTAATTTGAATTCAAATCTGAGAGGGGATTATTTAGAGAAAGGGGGATGATTTGAGAGGAAATTATTGGAGCCTACTTAAGGCTAACAATAGGATGATTTCAGGATTATGTTTTGGAGTTTGTTAAATTTAGATTGATTCTTAGGTTATTTGGGCTCTAGCTGGCGGCTAGGGATTTGGGAGAGCCAGATCTTCCTCTGCAATTGAAGTTCCAATTGTATCTTGCATTTCTCTTTATAGTTCTTTCAATAAAAATTATTTTGGGGTGCTCTTCTTCCCAAATTTTCGTGTTTCATTCGCTAATTTTTGTTAAAAGTGCATCTACTTCCTATCAAATTGGTATCAGAGCTTTTTTTTTTTTGGACCTATGGCAACAACGAAAGTTGATGCCTTAGAAGAGCTTCTTAAAGGAAAAGTTAACCAACTCAAATCGGCGTTTGAGGATAGAATGACATCAATGGAGGAAAAGATTTCCAATCTAGAAGGAATGATAAGGAAACTATTGGAGCTTCACACCCAATCGACAACATCGTAGGCGAGAGCACCAATGATTGTACAGGGAAGTGGGGGAAATCCTAATATAGGGATGATGAGGGAGGAACGGGAGGTAGAAGTTTTGGGGGAAAAAGATGAGATGCCATCTTTGGAGCCACTTCCAAGAAAGGGAAGGATGAAGAAGTGGAATTTTTGGTGGAGCTAAAAATTTGGAAAAGAAGAAGATTGGGAGAAGATAGAAGCACAAGATATGGTTCAGCCACTCCAACAATATCGAGCAGCCAGTTTAGGGGTTGCCTCCTCAGCAGGAATGCGAGCAAGCAATCGTCTTGGAGGAAGGAGTCTCACATATCAATATTCGTCTGCAGCGTCATCCCCAAATCTAGAAGGATGAGATCGAGAGATTGATAAAAGAGATGCTAGAGGAAGGGGTCATTCAACCCTGTGTCAGACCATTCAGTCCAGTGCTATTAGTCAAGTGCTTCAACAACAGTTTACTTCATTCCACATTGAGGACAATGTGGCACTTTAGGAGGGGAGTATTGATGGACCAGCCCGGCCAATTTAATTAGGAGGGAATAAAAAAGTATTGATGAACCGGCCCGGCCGATTTAATTGGGAGGAAATCAGGAAGTTTCCTAATCAAAAAGGAGTTGTTTAGGAAGGTTTTTAATCAAAGGGGAATTATTGAGGAATGTTTAAATTACAATTGAGAGGGAATTATTTAGAGCAAGATATCTAATTTGAATTCAAAATTTAAGATGAAATTATTTAGGGAAAAGCAGGAGAAATTAAGGGGGAATTGTTTAGGAAAGTTTTAATTAAAATTGGGAGGGAAATAATTAGGGAAATAAATCTAATTTGAATTCAAATCTGAGAGGAGATTATTTAGGGAAAGGGGGTTGATTTGAGAGGGAATTATAGGAGCCTATTTAAGGCTAACAATAATAGGGTGATTTCAGGATTATGTTTGGAATTTGCTAAATTTAGATTGATTCTTAGACTATTTGGGCTCTAGGTGGCGACTAGTGATTTGGGAGAGTCGGATCTTCCCTCCAATTGTATCTTGCATTTCTCTTTATACTTCTTTCAATAAAAATTGTTTTGGGGTCTTCTTCTTCCCAAAATTTTTTGTTTCATTCACTGATTTTTGTGAAAAGTGCATCCACTTCTTATCATGTTCCTAGGAGATAAAGGCTTGATGTTGTTGTTGTAATGTTCATAGGAGATGTAGTAGATTCTAATTGATATTACTTGGCACTTTTTTTCAGAAGAATAATAAGCGGTGAGAACTACATAAAGGATCTCTAACTACAGATATAGTGGAATACTTGTTAGTCAAACATGATAGTTTATTTCTTTATCATTGATTCAATGAGACTTCAACATGCATACAGTTTTTACAAACATAAAGTGCATCTAAATGTGAAACCTAATTATTTTACGATTTTTGAATAAGTTGTACATATTAAAAGATTCTCACATGCATTTGATAAATATTTCTTACGTTGCAGCTTCCTTTTTGCCTTTTTTAGCGTGATTATTTTCAACAAAATTAACCGTCCATTTTTTCTTTTTATGGCTTTAAACTATTAATTCAAAGAAGAGAACTTTTTCAGGAAAACAAAAAATCACCTAGAGAGAAATCAACAAGTCCTGCGGCAACAGCAACAGCAGATCCACTAGAAGATCCTCCAGGCACTCGACCAGGAGCACATGGATTAATGGGCGTCCCATAATGCTTATTCTCTCCATTGATGCTGCATTCACATCGAACTAAAATGCGCTTGCAGAACTCCAAATACCACATATTAATAAAATTTAACTAAAAAGACAATAAAAAAATGAATACATAAATGAAGTAGAATGAATTACATATTAACTCATGTGTTATTTGAAATTGGCACATAACTATCACCCGTTACAGAAAATATAAGCATAACCATCATGTTTCGGCTGACATTCACCTATAAAAACAGACTTAGAGAGAGGTTAGCCTTTATATTTTCTTTATGTGTATAATTTTATGTCATAAGGGGCTTATGTGGCTATTTCAAATGCCTCACGAGTATTGTGTGCAATTACCATTATGAAGTAAATTGCAAAATTCAAAGTTGAAAAAGGAGGTAATCCAAATTAGAATTCATAAGCCAAATGCCAATTTCTTCTCAACTTCAGGGCCAATTGGGATCAAAATTTTAAAATATATTTGATTTAGTTGATTTCTGTTTTTAAGTTGTTTTTATTTTTTATTCTTGAAAACAAATTAAGTTATATTTAAAAAATATCCAAAATAATTTTTAGAATTTTTATTCGTTTAATAAACCTTCTGACGACAACCATTAACACCTTAGGGCATCCCGAACCTAACGTCATTCGACCGTTTGTAGCTCTGGCGAGCGTCCGCCTGAATGACAAATAAAAATGTATTTTTGCATTTTATCTTAGTTGTGAACAGTGTGACCCAATATTGACATCGCACTATTCAAAAACCCATTTTTTTAACTAAAAAATATAAATATATAATTGAAAATAAATATAAAATAAAGATGAGAAAAAATATACACAGAATATTCTTTTTTGGAGCTAATATAGAGTTCGGTTTGAGATAAATTACTGTTTGATATAACTATGAATGCATTTTAAAGTGAAAAATAGATTTTTCGGTTGGAGATGCCCTTCTTCAATATTCAATAAAAATAAAAACAAAGCTTACTTAAGATACTAGACATATTTTTATTTCATATTAAAATATAAATAAAATAAAATTAAAAATATATACATAACAAAAAATGAAAACAAAAAGTAATCTCAAGTGGCCCCGAGTAAGAAATAGATTTTTACTCAATTTCTCATCAACCTAACAAGGGAGCGAAAACAGAATTCAATTCAATTTCCATACCATTTCCATTTTCTATTGATTTCATCTTTTCAAATTCGTTTAAACCAAATAGAGCCATAGTGTTCATTATGTTCATGGAATGACAAAAGCAAATCATGTAAGAAATGAAGCGGTTCTTCAGATACTGACCTGTAGGCCATCTCATCCATAACCGTTTTACCAACACACGTAGCTCCTGCTTCGAGAAGAGCCAATACTGCTGGCGCCGTGGATGTGGCTGGCAAATGAGTCCTTGCCCAATCTGGATTGCCGAATCCAGTAACAGACCCATCGATATCAAATCTGCCGCCAAATAAATCAACATTAAAACTTGCAGACAGTATTAAAATTCAAATAAAAAGCTCTCATGAACAACTTAACGCCTAAAATTTTTTCCCAGATGGAAAAAGAGAGATAGAGAGAGAGAAATCATAGGCGTGTTACAAAATACTTTCAAAAGATCTAGTTCTAAATGCGTGATTAGGTCATGGAAGGATAAATATTGGTAATTCGTATGACAGAGTGCAGGAGCAGATGATGTCTTACATATCTTTCACAGCGAAGGTGAGGCCTTCAAGTGGAAGTGGAGGCAAAGTAGGGGAGTGAGGTGAAGGGAAAAGGTTAAATCTTTGGATGAAAGCTCCGTAATCTTCGGCCTTCGATTCCGCCATTATCCTCCTCGGGAGTTTGCTTGGCTGCCAGTTTCTTTCGAATCATCCAAAATGGTTAAGATTTCAAAACCAATAACAATATTAAAAATAAAAGAAATTTCCTTTTTTTTAACACAATAAATCTTAAAATTATTGTAAAGAAATTTTGGACAAAACAAGTTTTAATTATTAAAGTTATTTTGAAATGTTTATTATTCATATAAAAGTAATTAAAATTTATATTATGACTCCTCAAAATAAATTCAAAAATTTTGAGCCGCCAATTTTTTTAAAATATAAATATATGATAAAAATGATCATTATCTTGTTTAGATTTTCTTTTAATAATATATATGTTTATTCTATTTAGGATAAATTCGACATAAAATCATTTTGAAATTTGTTGAATTACTCATTTTGACATAAAATCATTTTGTTTAAATTATATTAAAAATTGCAGAATTATTCTATGCTACATCATCAAGACCAATCTAAGATAAATGTTTTAAAAATAAAAAAATATAAAGTTGAAACTCAACGTTTTGGACTTATGAAGCACTACAAAAAAAAAGGGTTTTCGCAGCATAATATTTCACCTTTCCCGACGGTTATAACTGCCACAATTTTATTTGCAGTGGTCGGAGAAATTTGGGATAGTTTTTTTATCACTATTTTTTTGTATTTTCAATAAATTTTTGTACTAAAAAATTATTTTAAAAAGCCATAAGAAAACTATCTCAAATGAAACCTAAGCATATTTTTTTAATATTCAATTTAGTCCATTGATATTTGATAATCTTATCTAATTTAACTAAATCTTACCATCAACTTTCTTCCTTTGGATAAAAATTATAGGAGGTATTTTGAACATTTTAGAATATAAAATTAAATCTAATATGTAATAAGATCTTATCTCCTTGATAGATTTGTTTGAAAATGCTCAGAATTATCTCTTCTCAATTTTTTAACTTTTGTAAACTCTAACATAACTAGCATTTACATTTATCATGCTCACTTATTCAACTCCATAACTTTGCTTTTTATCATGTTCATTGTATTTGAAAGAATTAGGCTCTTATTTAAGGGTGGATAAATTTATCATATAAATAAAAAAATTTTAAAAAATATATTAAATGGTAATATAATTTAAAGCAAATTCTTTTATCTTATTATGATAGATGAAGGAAATGATGATTACAAGCTTTTAAACATATTTTTTTATAATGTTTCAGTACAGTTTTATTGGGAATCAAATTAAACATATATTTCTCAATATAAAATAGTAGACAATCATTAAGCTAATCAGCGCACATTCTACTATGCAATTGATGTTTGACAATTCTCATTATAGAAAATATTCTTTGAATTATAGTAATGACAACTGTTAAAATTAATGTAAAGATAATAAACTTGTCAACTAATTAAGAGATGCACAGTATCATTCATTACCTAAATAATTTATTTTGCATTATCAGAAATATTTTTTTAGAATAAAAGTTCATTACTTGTGTGTATATCAATAATATAAGTAGAAAACTGATATTTAAAAGCCACAAACTCAACCATAGAAAAATCATTTGATATAATTTAGCAAAACAAATTACTTCTCATTTATCCTAAGCAAATAATAACTCGCTTAGGTTTAGACACGTCATACAAAGAAGCAACTTAATATTAGTTTCAAAGAGACCATTATTCAGTTTTTTAAGTTACATATCAACTATAGTATGAAATAACAGCATCATAATTGATACGTCGTCAAAAAATTAGCTTGATCGGGCACGAATCTCGAGGCAAAAGTTAGTTGGAAACTTCAAAAATTAATTTTGGGAGCACATGAACTCCGATTTCAACAAACTCACAGTCAAACTGAGCGTCTCAGCGTCTCGGAAATACGAATCCAACGACACCAAGATCAACCCAATCCGAGCCCAAATGAGTCCGAATCAAGGGCTCAAAGCGCTATTGGAAGGTTCAAACCGCAATTTGAGTTACCAAACGGTCTCCGATTTTGACGAGCTTATACTAGAATCGAACGGCTCGACGAGACGAATCCAACGAGCCCAAGATCGCTGAATTCCAACATCATTAAGGCCTCTAAATGCTCAACGAACGGTGCATGATCAAAGGATTCGATATCGCCCGTCCATTCAAAACACTCCCAATTTGCCCTTGATCTCTTGGTGTCTCATAAATGCTAGATCCTCTCTCTTATCTGATTGCGTGCCGGATTTTCGTGCAATGCTAAGACGATAAACTTTATATTTCTCTACCGCCGCGAATACTTCTGGACGCAACAATAATGATATCCAATTTGCCAAAAAAAGTAATTATTCATCTTCATAACTTAATTGTTTTTCTCCCCAAACTGTAATCAATCCTCCAATTACGTACGGCATATTTCGATGAAGAAGAACTACTCTTAGAAATATAACTCATCAGTCACTCCAAGCAAGATAAAACAAAATAAATTAATTGTAAATAAAAGAAACAAGATGTATATAATAACCTCTAAATGTTTGTTTATTTTGATTTATTTCAATATAGATGCATATTTTACATTGTTATTTCATTCAGTTTTCTTTCATTATATAAATGCATATAAGAGATCAAGCTTTTTTATTATGATCTAACAGATGCCTTTAATATTAAATTCTTTGTTGACAATGGACAAAATATAGCAGAATATTTGATATGTTAAGCTATTGCATTTAGTATTACTATTGTTGTGTCCTGGAGTATTCGCGACATTAGAGAAATAGAAAATTTAGCATCTTAGCGTTGTATGAAGATCCAGCACACAAGCAGATAAAAAAGAGAGTGTAGCGTTCATAAGAGACACTAGAGTTTTTACGTGGAAACCCCTGAAAAGGGGGAAAAACCACGGGGTCTGGCCTAGTTTGAATGAATCCACTAGTATTTGCAGTCGATTATAAATGAGATCCTTCTTAGGGAGAAGACCTTGGCTTAATGACACAAATACAAATCATATAGAGTGCATTACATGATGTGAGTTATAATAATCAACATAGACATGTTTGTTTGGTCGGGATGACCATAGTTGATAGGATATAGGTCGAAAAGATCGTAGCAGGCAGAAGACCGGGGTTAGAAAGATCATTGTCCGGCGATCTAAGTCAGAAGAACCGTAGTATGCAGGAGATTGATGTCATAAATATCATTGTAGTAGGGCGGTACTCTGGTAGAACTCTAGGCATCAAGTGTTGGCCCGATAGAAGTCCAGACCTCAGGTGATGGTCCGACAGAATGTCGGGCCTCAGGTGGTGGTCCGGCTGAAGTCCAGGCCTCAGGTGGTGGTCCGATAGAAGTCCGAGCCTCAGGCGATGGTTCGGTAGAAGTTCAGGCCTCAGGTTGTGGTCTAATAGAAGTCCGGGCCTCATGTGGTGGTCCGATAGAAGTCCGGGCCTTAGGTGGTTGTTCAGCAGAAGTTCGTGCCTCAAGTGGTGGTCCGGCAGAAATCCGGGCCTCAGGTGGTGGTCTGGTAGAAGTGAGGGCCTTAAGTGGTAGTCTGGCAGAGCAACGACATTAGGCAGTGGTCCGGCGGAGCAATAACGTTAGACGGTGGTCCAGCAAAGGTAAGGGCCTCAAGTGGTGGTCCGACGGAGCAAAGATGTCAGGCGGTGGTTTAGAGGAGGTGAGGACCTCAAGTGGTGGTCCGGTGGATCACCGACGTCAGGCGATGGTCCGGCGGAGGTGATGGCCTCAAGTGGTGGTTCGGCGGAGAAACGACATCAGGCGGTGGTCCAGCGGAGGTTAGAGCTCAAGTGGTGGTCCGGTGGAGCAACGACGTCTGTCGGTGGTCCGGCGGAAGTTCGGATGTAGTCGAGGAGGAGCGAGAAAACAAGAGCAATCTTTGATCTCTCTTTATCTCTCTCTTGTTCTCTTGCTTGGAGCCCACCCCCCTTTCCAGAGGGAGGATGGGTCTATTTATAGCTTCCTAGAGTGGCATGACCCGTAAAAAGGTGGGAGATCAAGGGCATATGGGGAGTGGCTTGGATGGACGGCCGATATTGAATCCCTTGATTGTGGATCATTTGATGGACATTTGAAGGTCTTAATGGTGTCGGCATTTGGCGATCTTGGGCTCGTGGGATTCGTCTCGTCGAGCTGCTCGATTCTACTATAAGCATGTCATGTTTGGAAACCTTTTCGTAATCCAAATTGTGCTTTGAACCCTCCAGCAGTGCTTCAAATTATTGATTTGGATCCATTTGGACTCGGATTGAGTCGATTTTGGTGTCGTTGGGTTAGTATTTCCGAGATGCTCAGTTCGATTGTAAGTTTGATGTCATCGGAGTTAGGATGGTCCCAATTTTAATTTTGGAAGTTTCCAACTTGATTTTGCCTCAAGATTCGTGCACGATCAAGATAATTTTTTTGTTGTCATATCAACTATCATGAATATTATTTTTTAAGTTTTTAAAATTACAACATTGCTTTATTATTTCTGAGGTGGTGATAGAACAGCATACTTATTTAATTTATTTTTTTATATTAAAAATTTAAGTAGGCCAAAAAAGGGAGGGGAGCATGAGACCGAAATCGGGCCACATTGGTTGGATAATAATGTCCATCAACATCAATCATCAAATATAAAACACTATAAATAACTTTAAGTTTAAATTTGGCGTTAAGTTTCGATCCCTCTTTCATGCGGAGAATGATGATTTATTTATAATTTTTTTTTAAATGAGCATTGATGTTAAATTAGATGACTTCAGATAAAATTGGGTTCGTCTCATTAAGGTGTTCAAATTAGCTTTGAATTTGTTGAAATCAAATTTCAAATTATCTTGAACGCAATTCTCAAAAATTTTATATCTAAAAATTGAATCTAAATTTGTGCTCAATCCAATGAATTTTTTTAAAACCTATAAAAGGTTAAATTTAGACTTTATTTGTGATGGCTTTTTTAGTAATTCTTAAAGCAACTTTCTAATATAAAAATTAAATTTTTTATACTAGAAAATTATTTTGAGAAACAGTAAGAAATCAGTCCCAAACGAAACCTTAATCGTGATTTGATCTAAATTCAAGTATCCCAATAAAATTTTTGGATGTGATCGAGAT